TGTACATACCTGGGTTGTAGGTTCAATTCCTGCCCTGGTCTGGGCCATGTGGAAGGCAACCAATCGATGTGTCTTTCTCACATGGATGTTCCTCTCTCTCTCTCTCTTTCCCCCTCCCTCCCTCCCTTCCACTCTATTAAAAAAAAAAAAATCAGCCCCTGCTCAGTGGTTAGAGCGTTGGCCTGCGATATAGAGAGACCCAGGTTCAGTTCCCACTAAGGGCACGTACCTCAGTTGCAGTTTGTCCCCGGCCCTGGTTGGGTCGTGTGGGTGGCAACCACTCGATGTGTCCCTTTCATGTCGATGTTTTTCTCTCTCTCTCTTTACCTCCCACTCTATCTGAACAAAATATGGAAAAATGTCCTTGGGTGAGGATTAAGAAAAAAAAAAAAAAAATCAGTGGCCCAGCTGGTGTGGCTCAGTGGATTGAGCATCTTACCATGGACTGAAGGTCTTTGTTCAATTCCAGGTCAGAGCACATGCCCAAGTTGTGCACTCCATCCCCAGTAGGGGGCATGCAGAAGGCAGCCAATTGATGTTTTTCTCTCACATGGATGTTTCTATGTCTCTCTCTCCCTTCATCTCTCTCCAAAAGAATCAATAAAAATACATCAAAATATATATATATTTAAAAAAATATTTTTAATTGATTTTTTTAGATAGAGAAGAAGGGAGATGGGAAGAGAGAGACAGAAACATAGATTGACTGCCCCATGTATAGGAGCATGCCCCATTACTGGGGATCGAGTCTGCAATCTGAGTATGTGCCCTGACCAGGAATCAAACAAGCAACCTCTTGGTGCATGGGATGACGCTCAATCCACTCAGTCACACCAGCTGGGCTGCCTCTCTATGTTAACATAACCTTATTTCTGTATATATCTGCCTTGACCCATTCCTTCCATTACTTCAGAAAATGAGACTGCTCTTCCTTTCCTCTGAAGAGAACGTTATCACCTGTTCTGGAACCTGTATCACCCTGACTGTTCAGCAACCTTGTCCTTACACCTGTCCTTTTTGGCAAAATCTTTCCTATTCCACCAGCTCCGTGATGCTGTTGAATTTGACAATAATAACTAACCACTTTTTTTTTAAATTAGTTTCTCTCTCAGACTATTATCATGACACTTCCCTATTTCTAGTTCTTATTCACATCTCAAATTGTGCCTATACTGGTTTCTTTTACACTCTCTCTGCCTTACCACTTAGCATTCCCCTCTCCCTACCAAGTTTAATCTTTATTCCTCTTTTCTCTGTCTACTGAAGAATGGGTTAGAAAAGGGAATGAGGAAATAGATGGAGCATAGGGAAGATGTTTATGCTGGCAATTTGTAGCTCCTCACATATATTGGGGTAGAAAAAAGTTGACAACGATTGCTCACCACCCTCACTTATTCTTATAGCTACCATACTTGCATCTATGTAATATTTCCCCAATTCAAATTTTCTCTATAATTTTGCCCTCTTTCTGAGACCCAGTCTATGTTTCTAGAGGTATAATGAACATTTATATTTTTTATGTCCCACTATCAGACATTTCCAACGTGACACAACCTAATGCTGACATCAACTTTCCCATCTAAAACACCTTCTGTTTTTTGAATGACCCAAGAAATCTCCATTTCCCAGATTAGAAAAAGTGGTATCATCTTCTTCATTTCCTATATCCAGGTAGTAATCAACTCATCATTTAGGCTACAGCATCAAAGAGAAGGGGTGAAGAATTCCCCATCCAAAAAAGCTATCCTTATCAATTCTTCCTGCTACACTCACTGCAGTCTTACTTCTAGTCTAATCTCAAACAAAAAGGCCACTTTCACCATGTCATGCCTCTGTCTAGTAATTTATAATAGCTCCCTATTATCAGCTATATATAAAGTTTAAACACACCCAGTGATGGGTCCTCTGAAATCTGACAACTACCTTCATACCCTATTTACTATTTTTCTCTACTATAGCATTTCTCAATCTTTTTGGTCTCAGGACCCTCTACAGTCTTAAAATTATTAGGAACCCCAAAGAGCTTTTGTCTATGTGGGTTACATCTATCAATACTTAACTGTACTGAAAATGAAAACTGAGAAAAATTTTAAACAGAAGAATACACAAACACACACTCCAGTAACTGTCAGAGTAATGATATCATCACACGTCATATAGCCTGGAAAACTCCACTGACACTTGTGAGAGAATGAGAGTGAAAAAAAGCAAATAATATTTTAGTATAATTATGAAAATAGTTTCGACTTCTAAAACCCCTCACTCACTTTAAGAACACTGTTCTAGCCCTGGCCGGTTTTGCTCAGCGGTTGGAGCGTCGGCCTGCGGTCCGGAGAGACCCGGGTTCGGTTCCCGCTAAGGGCATGTACCTGGGTTGCAGTTTGTCCCCAGCCCTGGTCGGTCGTGCGGCTCGATGTGTTCCTTTCACGTCGATGTTTCTCTCTCTCTCTCTGTTCCTCTCTCTCCCTCCCACTCTACCTGAACAAAAAATGGAAAAATGTCCTTGGGTGAGGATAAAAAAAAAAAAAGAACACTGTTCTATCTGACCTTGATTCTTTTAATGCCTCCCTATCCATCATTGATGATTACTGATTAGTAATTTTTGTGTGCAGCAATAGCCTGGAGGCAGAAAGAAGACTAAAAACCACAGATTTATTAAATAATCTTCAAATTCATTAGCATGCCTGCTTATTCAAAATCTAACCCCATTTATTAATTTTATTTCCTGCCATTGCATTTTCTTTCCCTCCTCCACCATATTCCCCAAATAGAACAAACCTTTTTCTGCTTTAACATCTTTGAATACAGTATTCCCTCTACCTGGAAGGCCTTCTCTCACTCATCCTTCAGACCCACTTCAGAGGTTACCACTTCTTTGAATCTTTCTCTTGACACATCCCATCCCCAATTACCATTTTCTCTGTAACTCCATAGCACATTTAGAACTTCTCACACTGTACCATAATTACTGTTCATCTGTCTGTCTCCCCACTAACAGTTACCTACATGAGGGCAGACTTGCATCTTACTGGTCTTTGTATTTCTAGTACCTCACATAGTGGGAACTCAAACGTTTGATCATTCACTTGAAGTCATGTCTTTCAGAGTGAGTTCAATGCTCAATATCCCCAAATATTTCATAATACTTGTTCCTTCCTCTGAACTTCTGCAGTACTATATAGAAACTAAAAAAAAAAAAAAAGAAAAGCCTAAAGGAAATTGTTATAACCTTCCTACAAAAAGACTGGGAACTCTGGACCACAGGATCAGGTCTAATTCCCTAGTCTAATATTCAAGAGCCTACATTAAGTGGTTCTTTTTCACCTTTCTTCCCCCCCCATTATTCTCCAATATGAACTGACTACTACTGTCATCCAATACACACATGCACATGCACACACACATACACAATCCATTTTATTTTTCCCCTTTTGTTTATATTCTTCTCTCTCCCAGGAATTCCATTTCCTTGTTATTTTAAATTCTACTTTTCCTTAAAAGCTTGACCCAAAAATTCCAGGAAGCTCTCTGGCACTATGCCAGACCAAAGGAAAATTTCTTCTTTTAGGATATCTAATGCATTTCTATTTGTTTCCTATAACCTAGTATTTATAGTGTATTGTCTTGCATTGTTCTTTAATAATTTCAAGTAAATCAATGCTGCAATCCCAAATAGCTTGACAGCTTTTTAAGAGCAGGCACAGTCTTTCGTGTTTGTTTTATTTTTGCTAATCTTCACCCAAGAATATTTTTCCATTGATTTTTAGATAGCGTGGGAGGGAGGGAAGGAGGAAGGGATGGAGAGGGGGGGGGAGAGGGAGAGAGGGAGGGAGAGAGAGAGAGAGAAGAGAGAGAGAAGAGAGAGAGAGAGAGAGAGAGAGAGAAACATTGATGTGAGACACACATCTATTAGTTGCTTTCTGTGCCCTAACCAGGGACAGGATTGAACCTGCAACTCATGTACCTGCCCTTGAATGGGAATGGAACCCTCAACCATTCGGTCTGTAAGCCAAAGCTCTAAACAGAGCAAAACCGTCCAGGGCTCCCTTAACTTGATTTTCTCCCTAACTGGTCACAATACTCCAGGTTATTTTTTTCTAGGGAACATTTTATCATTAGACGTAATTATCAATTTGAAAATAAAATATGCTATGAGATGTACCTTCTCAGCACCTTAAAACTGCAAGCTCAAATAAGACACTCCATTTATAGAGAACTCACTCTGAGTCCTCAACATACTTACTTTTGAAGGCCCTTCCTTTTTATGATCCTTTACCTTGAATATATCTTTTCTTATTTTAGTTGTTACAATTTTAGCTCCCTTAACACATTCTGATGTGTGGTTACTGATAATGCCAAAGTATTTAAGAAGAACCAAAGAAGAGGCAAGTAAAAGTCATGCATAAATGGAAAATATAATCTTTGAAAACCAAAAAGTCATGGTAATTGGGTATTAGACCAATACTTTACCTTAAATGGAATTTGTCTAAGGGGCTACATTTTCTTTATCACCATTTCCTTAAGTATCTACACCCAAATGGCACAAGCATTTGCTGGAAAATAGACTAAACATAACCACCATAACTTGGTCTCTGACGTCATGGATTGATGATAACTCCTGAAAATCATTTTCCCTATTATTCACTCTTTTACATATGTGATAAAGTCAGTAAGAAGAAATAACACAGAAAAATACAGTTTAAATATAATCGTACGGTTTTGGATGCTCTAAGTCCTAGTTTTGGTACATACATCGGTCACCCCTGAATGTTAAACTCTTATTTAAACACTACAAGAGAAACCTGAGGTTGCCAGCAATTCTGACATACATATAATATGCTCTCAACAAGGGAGTCCTCGAATGAATCTCATGTAATAAGAAAGGGGAACTGATGAATGAGGAAAGAAAGGAGGAAGACATCAGTTGACATGCAGCAGCTTCTCTACCCCATTTCCCTCCTCCCCAAAAGCTGTAGGAAATAGGAAGCTGCAGAATGTACCTTCCAGGCCAGAAGCAAAACATTGAGGATGGCCAGCAAAGGGCAGGGTCCGTTTTCATTCTGGGTGATGATGGGTGTGTGCTCTTCCTTCCACTGGATCCACTTGATGTGATAGACAGATTGTCCCGGGAAGCGTTCCTTGGAGGCCGCGAGCACCTGAGCTGCCTCCCCCGCCCCCTCCTCCTCCTCCCCTCTGCACAGAGGCACAGCCCCGGGCAACACCGCCGCGCCGCCCTCCTCCTCCTCCTCCTCCGGGACCCTGCTCTCAGCTCCTTCCTCACTATTGAACTCGGAGCTACTGGGGAAAGAATGCAGGTTAGAGAACGACTCCAGGGAGTCCAGGCTCGGCGATTCCCCGGGAGGGCTCGGGTCACTGCAACTGCTGCTGAGGCCGCCGGCGCTGTTGGGTTCTTCGGAGCCCGAGGCCGCCAGCTCTGCCCGGCAGGTGCCAGCGGGATCAGGCCGGGCGCCCGCGTCTCCGGCAGGACCCAAGCCATGGCCCGCTCCGGCCTCGGCTGTCTCCGGGGAGACGGTCACCTTGTGCTGCCCTCTCGGAGGCACCTTCTGGACAGCAGGACTCTCCAAATCGCTCTCCTGCATGTCCAAGCCCTGGAAAGAGCTGCAGGGTCCGGGAACCCGAGGAGAGCTGGCGGGAGAAGCCGCGTCCGGGAGGCTCCTCCCGGCGGCCGCCGCCCCCTGCCCATTCCGGCCGCTGCTCTCCGCCGCCCATACTTCGGGACCATCCCCAGCGGCGAGCCATGTCTCCTGTAGCCCTTCCTGCGGAGAAGCTGGCGCTGGCCCAGCGGCCACCCCGTGTTCTAGCGGCTGCAGGCTCTTGGGGCCGCTCTCCATACCCAGCCGCCCGCCCCTCGCTCTAAAGAGACCGCGGCGGGTTTTCCTCAGCCAGCGCCTCCGACGCCATGACAGCGGCACTGGCAGCTCCAGCGCCCTAGCGCAGCCTCGGCCAGGCACGTCACGGGGAGGGCACCGGGAGCGCGCGCGCGGGCCGCCGCGCGCTCGGCCAGCTCTGGGCGTGCCCGCGCGCCGCCTGCGGACGGCGAACCACGCGGCCCTCCCCGCCCGCGCGCGCTGCGGGGCCGCGGGAGAGCGCGCTGGGAAGGCGGGGAGTGGCGGGCGTAGACAGAAGGGCGTGGTCTGGCGGGCGTGGCCGGGAGGGCGTGGCCAGGAGAAAAACATCCTCTCACTATGTGACCGGAAGTTGAACTCCGGGGCAGCCAGACCGCAAGCGGCTTATTTAAAGGCAAGGCGGGCGGCTCACAGCTTGGCTGTGATCCTGAAGCGCTGGATCCTGTGTGTCCCAGTCTTGGCCTCATAAATGAAGAGTTGGCGGTGCTTGTAGTATTTGGAAAAGAGCTCGCTCTTGAAGGGTTCAGATTTGTTTTCCCAGCTCGCAGTATGGAAAATCGGGGGAATTTCTTACCAGATGCAGATTTTAAAGGCTGGGATCTACTCGAGATGTCTGGATTACTACACTGAACAGATTCCAGTTTCCCTCCGTTTTGGCTGAGAAATATAGCTCCCACAAACTGCCGGTGAAAACGTTCGCCGTATTTGAGGCATGAGTGCGGTGGTGGATATTGGCCTGCGCACGGAAAAAAAAAAACAGAAATGGCACTTTGGGCCAATAATAATAAATTAGCTTGAGCTTGAATTAGCCAAGTCTTCGCGGTTTTGTTAACTTGGCTTCGCTTTGCTTGGAGTCGGAAGAGCCTGTTCCTGAAAAAAGTGACTTTTCTCATTTGAACTTAAACCTCATAAAGCCATGCAATTATCAGGGAGGACAGAGTAAGCTGGAAGTTTTTTTGGAGACAAAATGGATTTGGGTCCTATTTAGACCTGTTCCAGACAAAAAGTCAGTAAAAACTTTCCCTTAAAAAAACTTTCAATATTTTCTATGATCTGGGGATACAAAAATTGACAAAACAGGTCCTTTATAGTCAAACATATAAATGCCTGATGCCTAATAATAGAATGTAATCTTTTGTATCTATTTTAGTTAGAGAATATAGACAAAATTGCAAAGTAGTGTTTCATTCACTCATTTAACACATTTCAGTACCAACTACATTACCGGATACTATGTTTGGCACTGGAGATGTCATGCTAAATAAGAGAAAGAGCTCATCACTTCATGGGGTTTACTGTTAAGTGTTTGTTTTATTATTTTTTTTCTTTTTCTTCTTATTGTTACATGTTTAATGCTTGCTTGGGAAGTATGATTTCCTGATAATGCAGAAGATGGAGCTTCTTCCACCTTTTTACACTGACAATATTATGGTGTCCGTCCAACTCTTGGAAAAGAGGAAAATTAGAAAAGGTAATGAAAAATTTCTTCAGAATATTGTTTTTAGGAGTTTTGGTTTTGGTTTCCAGTAACACGATTCCAGTTTGTAAGCAATAAATACAGACTCGAATTTTTCCCTGAAAAAAGGTTGCAAATTAAGATATATGCTGCTGGCCTTGGCCAGAGTGATTCAGGGGTTAGAGCGTCTGCTCAAGCACTGAGGGGTCTCTTGTTAGATTCCTGGTCAAGGTCATGAACCCGGGTTGCAGGTTTGATCCTCAGCTCTGGTTGGGCTCCTGCTGAGGCAACCAACACATGGATCTACCCACCCCCTCTCCCCTTTACTTTCTCTAAAAATCCATGGAAAAAATATCCTCGGGTGAGAATTAACAAACAAAAATATATCCTGCTGGACTAAGTAAGCACTTTACAGTATTTAGGGTCATTAGGTGCAAAAGAGAATATTGCAGATTTTAGGAAATCCAGAGTTTTGCATGGAGCCTTGATTATAAAAAGGAGATTTATAAAAACGTGTAATATGGCCCTGGCCGGTTTGGCTCAGCGGTTAGAGCGTTGGCCTGTGGTCTGGAGAGACCCGGGTTTGGTTCCCGCTAAGGGCACGTAACTCAGTTGCAGTTTGTCCCCGGCCCTGGTTGGGTTGTGCGGGTGGCAGCTACTTGATGTGTCCCTTTCGCGTCAATGTTTCTCTCTTTCTCTCTCCCTCCCACTCTATTTGAACAAAATATCAAAAAATGTCCTCAGATGAGGATAAAAAAAAAAATGTGTAATATGAATAAGTTGAATGAATGAATGAATCGTTTACAGGCCAGAAAACATAGTAGAGCCAAAAACCATGAAACACATGTTTCAAATAATGGCCTTTCACCATTTAAAACAAACAAACAAAACCCTACTTAAATAAACCTGTACTTACTCTGGTAGTTTTTATTGGTATATGTTTCAAATGCTCACACACATAATTTAATAATTTATTAAAACAAAAAGAAACAGAACCATTTTTTCTTTTCATATGTTGCCTGCAATTACATAAGCCAAGATGAACAGCTGTGGAACAGTATGTATTTTCTTTTAGTTTGTGAAAATGTACATAGTTATTTTTCTAAGATAGGTGAGAAGTGGCATCTAGGGGGAAATCAGAAAATAATAAACTAAAAAAGTCTCCTTTTTTGCTTACATATATCTTTATTTAAATGTGATATAAAATATACCATTGTAAAATAAAATGGCTACTTTCTAAATTTTAAATTATTTTTCTTTTCTTTTTTTTTTTTAATCCTCACCCGAGGACATTTTTCCATTTTTTGTTCAGGTAGAGTGGGAGGGAGAGAGAGGAACAGAGAGAGAGAGAGAAACATCGATGTGAAAGGAACACATCGAGTGGCTGCCACCCGCACAACCGACCAGGGCCGGGGACAAACTGCAACCGAGGTACGCGCCCTTAGCGGGAACCGAACCCGGGTCTCTCAGGACCGCAGGCCAACGCTCTAACCGCTGAACCAAACTGGCCAGGGCTAAAATTATTTTTCAATATGTAAATGTAATAGTCTTAAAAGTCAAATAGATTATATAAAAACAAAGCAGTTTTCTCCACACTTTTTTAAACCTAAATTAAAAACAATTTTTAGCCTAGCCGGTGTGGCTTACTGGTTGAGTGCCAACCCATGCACTAGGAAGTCGCTGGTTTGATTCCTGGTCAGGGCACATGCCCAAGTTGTAGGCCCAATCCCCAGTTGGGGGCATGCAGGAAGTGGCCAATCAATGTTCTCTTTCATCAGTGTCTCTCTCTCTCTCTCTCTCTCTCTCAAATCAATAAAGAAAAAATATTTTCAAAAAACAAAACAATTTTTAATTAAATGTATTGGGGTAACATTAGCTAATAACATCATATAATTTTTCTCCACACTTTTGAGTTGTTTTTTTTAGAAGCAGTCCCATTCAACTCCTACATATTTTTTAGCTCCTTATCCCTATATTTCTGAGTAACATGATTACATTCTGATTTCTTCATTTAAAAGTTGTAGATATTATTTATTGACTTATTCCCATTGAATATGAGGATTTAGTTATTTTCTCTCACACCATTTTTTCTCCTCTTACTCCAACCTCCTAATTATTTCAAAAGTTTTAATCAAATAAAGTACTCAAGTTTAAAGCATTAGTTATGTGAATATTATTCACCAGTAAGTGAGGTATTTTACTGTGACTGTGATTACATTTCTTCTTAAACTTTTTGTTTTTCCTGGAATTAACAATTGCCTCATCATTTTGTTTCTGTACTTAACTCTTCATTTACTACTATCTCAGCCACATTTTTGGTCACCCAAAAATCCATTTTAATCTGGGGTACATCCCTCCTAGAACATTCACCTCTTGTTCTGATTTGGACTTGTTCTATAAACTTGTTCTGCACAGGGTCATCTAGGGATTTCTCTTCATGATTATTTTATAAATTTCTTTCTCCTCTCTTCCATATTAATTCTTTACCTTCTTGGATTTCCTGTCTTCTTTCTTTCTTTTTAAATTTTTTCCCTAATTGATTTTAGAGAGAGAAGAAGGGAGAGAGAGAGAGAGATTAGAAACATCAATGAGAGAGAACATCAATTGGCCACCTCCTGCATGCCCCTCATTGGGGATTGGGCCCACAACTTGGGCATGTGCCTTGACTGGGAATCAAACTGGTGACCTCTTGGTGCATGGGTTGATGCCCAACCACTAAGCCACACCAGCCAGGCTCTAGTTCCTTTTTATTGTTTCTTGGCATTCTGACCTTTCATATCATAGAATATTGATCATAATTATTAATGTATTCTTTATATTTTTCAAATGATATCTGAACCATATGCTATAAAAAAATATACTTAGTATGGAGTTGTTGATAGTGCCAGAGAGTAAGTTATTGAGGATACAATTGTAAAACATTGGTTTTACTCTTTGGGAGGGCAAAATCTGTTTTGAGAAATAAGATATATTCACATGTAATGATTATTGAGAATATAAATCAGTTACTAATATTAAATGAGTGGTATAAGCAATAACTGTTATAAAAATCCAGATGAAAAAACATCTTTTAAAGTGAGATAATTAAGGAGGATTAAGCTACACTCTCCTAATTAAAATCACAGGCTGATTATTTACCTCAGGCTTAAGAAATCTAATATATCAAAATGATTGTTCTTTTTAAATTCTCTGTTTTTCTTAATTGGGTCATAGCTTTTCTAGCTGCCATGACAGAAAAGATGGTGCCATCTTTAACTTTTACCCTAATTTATTTACTGAATATTATCTCATCTATCAAGTCTTGCTGATATTATATACCACTTTCCTCCCTCATTTGTCTGTAGCCACCCCCTGGCTTAGTGCTTATTACCTTATTACTAGAGTGTGGCAGCATTCTAATTATTCCCCAGACTATATTTTTCTCTTTCTCAGTTTATCCTGCATAAACGTATAAGAACTGTAATTCAAACATTTTGCTTTAATTTTGTTGATGGTTCTACTAAAAATAATTTGATGGTTGTTTACTGTTAGCTGAATTAAAAGTTGGCTCTGAGCAGAAGATATTGGGCATATATACCTTTATACCCTGTAGCTTTCTA